CTTACTTTATAGCTTCCTCATCCAATCCTAAATTGCCAAAACTGCAACTTCAAATTTCCCGCAATTTTTCTTTTAAAAACTTAAAGGCCTTTGTCTCCCGGTGCCACTCTTTGCTGACCGGCAGGGGTGACCCCATTGTGCAATGGTTAATAAACCTCTTGCTTTTGCAATGAGTCTTGGTCTGGGGGAGTTTCTGGAAGGGGCGCGATCTTAAACTCCTGAGCTGTGAGACCCCAGGTCTTACACGTTCATCCATGTACAAGCTGTGCAGTGGGACAGCTGGACCCCTGAATCTCACTTGCTGTTCAGCCTAGCCATTCTGTGAGTTCCAGGTTCAGTGCCAGTTCTTGTCTCAAGAAGGTGAAGATCGATAAAGACATTCACACATGCACACACATCTATACACATAAAGCTAGGCTGGTGGTACATGTTTGTAATCAAAATACTGAAGAAATAGAGTCAAGAAAATCAAAACCAGCCTCACTACATAGTGAGTTCAAGGCTAGCCTTGCCTATATAAAACTCTAAAAAAACAAAAGAAAAAAAAAAAGAAATTGGAAGACAAAATAAAGAACCCCTATATATCAGTCATTTACACTTCCTAAATATTTATATTTCTAATTTTCAGGCTTCAGTCCATTACTGAGGGAAGCTGTAATGGTTTGAACAGGAATGGCCCCATAAACTCCTGTGTTTGAATACTTGGTCAACAGGGAGCGGCACTATTAGATGTTGTGGCCTTGCTGGAGGAGGCAGCACTGGGGGTGAGCTTTGAAACTTCAAATGCTCAAGCCAGGCCTGCTGTATCTCTCTTCTTGCTATCTGCTCGTCTAGAGGCAGAACTCTCAGCTACCTCTCCAGTGCCATGCTCCTTACCGTGAGGAAACCTCTGAACTGTAAGCCAGCCCATATTAAATGTTTTCTTTTATAAGAATTGGCATGGTCATGGTGTCTCTTCACAGCAATAGAACACTGACTAAGCCAGAAGCCAAAACAGGAATTTAGGGAACCTGGAGACAGGAACTAAAGCAGACATCATGGAAGAATGCTGCTTACCTTGGCTTCTTAGCCTGCTTTCTTATAGAGCCCAGGAAATTCTGCCCAGAAGTCCTTCCAGCCACAATGGGTTGCACCCTCACACACCAATCAAGAAATTGCTCCATATACTTGCCCACAGGCCAGTCTGATAGAGACAATTCCTCAGTTTCCTTCTCAGATGACTCTAGTTGGTGTTAGGTTGACAAAAACTTGACCAGAACACAAATCTTCCTTTTTTGTCAATTCTCTGCCATTTTCCCTTGAGCCTTTAAGTTTGATACTGCCAACTGCTATACCAGCAGCTCTTGGGCTTGTCTGTGTGTGAAAGCCATGTGAAGATCTTTTTAAATTCCTTAAAGCACCTAGAGAGATGGCTCATCAGTTATGATCTTTTGTTGCTCTTCCAGAGGACCCAAGTTCAATCAGCAACACCCACAGGGGAGCTCACAACTGGTTCTAGGGGATTGTACCTCTCCTCTGACTGTCTCAGACACAAGAGACATGTGCTGCACATACGCACACATACACACAGGCAGAACACTCACACGCATAAAAAGTAAGTCTATTTTTTAATAATGAAAATAAAATACATTTTATTCAGGACAGCTAAGGCTACACAAAGAAACTGTCTCGAAAAAGAAAAAAAAAATATGTGAATGAATGTTTGCCTGTATGTATGTCTGTCTGTGACTGTGGAGGTCAGAAGAGGGCATGGAATCCCCTGGAACTGAAGTTGCAGCTACCTTGTGGGTGCTGGAAACCAAACTCAGGTCCTCTGGAAGAGTAGTCACTGCTCTTACCTGCTGAGCCATCGCTCCAGCTCCAAGACTAGAGTATGACTGTCAGTGGCTTGTTTTGAGGGGAGGCTAATGTAGCTCAGGCTAACCTAAAATTTAATATGTAGCTGAGGCTGGCTACATGATCTGATCCGTGTATTTTATCCTCCTAAGTACTGGAATTACAGACAGCCTCACTAAGCCCTGCCACTTTGTTACATTGTTCAAAAGATGTAACAAGGGCCTGGAGAGATAGCTGGACCCTTTAAGAACACCTGGCTGCTCTTTCAGAGGACAGGGGTTCAATTCCCAGCACCTACAAAGCAAATCACCACTATCCCAGGGCAATCTGTAGGTGCTAGTTTCTAAACTCTACTTTATTTGGGGTTCCTTATGCCTCTATCTCCCTTCCAACCCTCCACCCCAGAAAGAAGGTTAGAATGGAAAGAGGATGTAGACCTCTTTAGACTTGGTTATGGCTGGTAGGGTTGTTGGGTTCTTTGGAGGCAATACCAATCTCAGGTGTCAGGACATCCAGCAGTCCAGCAACAGCAAACAGCAAAAGACAGCAGCAGAATGACCAATCAGCCTTCTTCTTCTCCGTCCATCTCTCCAAGCCTTCTCTCCTCAAACCCTCACTCTCTCTAAGCTCTCATATTTATACTCTCCCAGAGTCCTCAGAATTCCAGCTGGCAAAGATATGCACCTCTGGGAGCATGCATGAGGCTGCTACCAGCTGGCAAAGACGATACCCTACAGGAGCCTATTATCAGCTGTGGACAAAATAAAGCAGTCCCATATCCCACAGCTGAAATTAAGACAGAAACATATTTAGATAACACCAGTGAGTTTTAAAGAAACCAAACTTGTACTGCAGGAATGCGGTGCCCTCTTCTCACCGCCACTGTGCACTGCACACATGTCGCGCACAGGCATACATGCGGGCAAAACACACACATAAAAAATGAATGCATGAATGCATGAATGAATGAATGAATGAATGAAATGTTTAAAAAAAGTGTTTTTTTTTTAAGTTGTAAACAAGTCTCCATATGCTTGCTTTCATGTAAGGAACTTTTCTTTCCTTTTCCTGGTTTTATTTCTCTGAGTGCTAGTGTGTGTGTGCCTATTTATGTATGGGGGGGGTGAGATGGAGGGGTGGTGGAGGAAGTGAAGGCCAGAGTACAATACGTGTGATTCTTTATGTGTGTCCACCTTTAAAACGTTTCACTTTTGAGTCAACCAACCTGTGCCATGGGAGTTCACAGAGACTGAACCACCAACCAAAAAGCATGCATGCACTGGGCCTGGGCCCCGCACACACATAGCAGGTGCGCAGCTTGGTCCTCATGTGGATCCCCCAACAACTGGGAGGGGGCCTCGCTATGACTCCCTTGGTATCCCTTTGGATTCCCCTGACTGGGCTGCCTTATCTGCCTTCAGTGAGAGAGGATTGCCTGGTTCTGCAGCAACTTAATGTGCCAGGGTGGGTTGGTACCCATGGGGGACCTCACCCTTCTCTGAGGAGGAGAGGGGCAAACTAGGGGGAGAAGCATGTGAGGGAAGAGATGAGGGGGGCTGCAATCAGGATAGGAAGTGAATGAATGAATGAATGAATGAATGAATGAATGAATGAATGAATAAGTTTTGCTTTTGTTTTTGTTTTGAGGCAGGTTTCTCTGTGTAGCCTTCACTGTCCTGGAACTCACTCTGTAGAGCAGGGTGGCCTGGAACTCAAAGAGGTGCATGTTCTTCTGCTTCCTGAGTGCTGGGATTAAAGGCCAGCCACACCTAGTACTTTTAGTGTAGGTTCTGGGGTTCAAACTCAGCAAAGCAAGCATGTCACTGACTGGGCTATCTTCACACACCCACGCTTCCCCCCTGTTGTGTTTTCTTTTAAAACAAGCTCTCAGATAGCCCAGCTGGCCTTGAACTCACTGTGTACGGAAAGTCCTTCAACTACTCTTGGAAATAAGAACAAAATCAAGAGACTAGTGATGACTAAGTAGTTTTAAACATACAATTCTGCAGAAAGGGGACTCTGGCATAGAGAAAAGGCATAAATGGCCAAGGTGCTGATTAGGCACAAGGCAGTGATTTTAAGAAATTGACATTCCTGTTCTCTTCTCCTAGAGGTCTATAGGACTTCCATCATTCTGGGTTCCCTATCTCTTTGGCCTAAGACAAAAGCTTCATCCAAAAACTACTTTGGGACTTGAGTCTGGCCCCTTCTGATTGCTGGCTTCTCTTATCTGAGCCAGCTGAGTGACGAGGCATACCGTAACTTGTAACTTTCTGAAACAAAGCGGGGCCAGCCGCTTTGTTAGGCAGGGGAGGGTGGGGGCTGCTTGTCTGTAACTCTAATGAATTCTAGCTCACCTTTTACTGAAAATGGACCATAACAATCTATTACTTACACTCAGCCTCCTCCAACATTTCTCAAGTGCTGGGCCCACACCCTCTTAGGGAATTTGTCGTTACCATTTGAAATTATAAAGTAGTTTCTGAGGTGCATGACACAAGTTTATAGGCTAAGGTTACTGTACGCAGGCCCCAAGAAATCAAGGTGTGTTTTCACTGTAAGTTAGGTCATTGTCTGTGAGATTGTTGATTCTCCGCCTTTCTTTCCCCGTGTGTCTTCTTCATATTCTTGTTCTGTCTGTCCAGCATCTCCTGAGGGAGCTGTTGTGCTCTTCCAGGGAAGGCTTCTGTCACCCCGAGTGCAAGCGGACCACAAGCACTATGCAGGCAAGGCCTTCACCCACGGCTGTCACTGGTTCTTCCCAGTGTGCCCTGTGTGGATGAAAACCAGCCAACCCTAGAGGTGGAAGCTGACTCCTGAACCACGTGGAAACTGCGGACACGTGTTCCAGAAAGGGGCGGAGCTTGTGGGCGTGGCGCAAGGAGAACTAGGCAGCGCTAGGAGGACGGAAATTGGTATTTCCTGCCTGGTCACGCCTCCTCGTTTATTGGTCTTTGTCTTCACCCAAACACAGCGGAGACTTGTCTGAACTTCCGCTCCCCAAGGCCAAGGGTAGACCCCGCCCCGTGGCGGTTTCGTAGCTGCGCGTGCGGCTGAGTTCCGGCATGGAGCGAGGAGGGCTGGGCTGCACGGTTTGCGTGCTGACAGGGGCCTCCCGGGGCTTCGGGCGCGCGCTGGCCCCGCTGCTGGCGCAGCTGCTGGCACCCGGTTCGGTGCTGCTCCTAAGCGCACGCAGTGACTCGGCGCTGCGGCAGCTGGAGGAGGAACTGGGCGCGCAGCAGCCCGGCCTGCGAGTGGTGCGGGCCGCAGCCGATCTGGGTACCGAGGCCGGCTTGCGGCAGGTGCTGTGCGCGGTGCGCGAGCTCCCCAAGCCCGAGGGGCTGCAGCGCCTGCTGCTCATCAACAACGCAGGTGAGCCTTCCTACCAGACCTGGGCTGCGAGCTCTCACCTCATCACCGTTTGGGTAGGTGGAGGGCGAGTCCCCAAAAGTGCAGAGTCCTAGCGTAGAGGAAGAACCAGTGTCCCTGGCAGGGTTAGCCCAACCAGGTTGTCTAAAGCGCCTTGAGCAGTGCCCCCTGGCGGCAGTGTGATTCAAGACCTCAAATCCCTCTGCTTTTCCAAAGAGCACTCACTCTTTGCTTGCCTTACGGTGTTCTACAGAACTGGGGCAGGGGAGAGCAAATGGATATGAGGAGGAACCATGGAAGGCTGAAGGAGAAAAGCACCCCAGTTGCTGTGTTATCTTCGATCCTGTTTTTTCAGGCAGTCTTGGAGACGTGTCCAAAGGCGTGTTGAACGTGAATGACCCAGCTGAGGTGAACAACTACTGGGCCCTGAACCTGACCTCCATGCTCTGCTTGACCTCGGGCACCCTGAATGCCTTCCCGGATAGCCCAGGCCTGAGCAAGACTGTGGTTAACATCTCATCTCTGTGTGCCCTGCAGCCCTTCAAGGGCTGGGGACTGTACTGCGCAGGGAAGGCTGCCCGAGACATGCTGTGCCAGGTCTTGGCTGCTGAGGAGCCCAGCGTGAGGGTGCTGAGCTATGCCCCAGGTGGGTGAGTGGTACTGACATTGCTGTTCCTAGACCTAGGCAGTATCTTTCTGGGGGCTGGGAAAAGTGGGGAATCTGGTCTAGAATCTCAGGAAAGAATCCAAAGACTGTATTTCTCCCTCCCAATCATAACTCCTCACTTTGCAAGAAAAATGGAGACCTCAAGAGGTTGGGGCAGTCAGAGGCAGGGGTATTCAACATTAAGAGTTGCCTGATTAGCAGGCGGGACAAAACACCCATACACATAAAAATGAATTAACATTTTAAAACAAAAGGCTACATTACCTTTATATATTTAGCTGTCCATCCATGTATTCCCAGCACCTAGCATAGCTGCACAGAGGCTGGCCACAATAAATGTTTAAAGACAAGCAAGCAGACATTGTTGAGTGGAGAGCATCCCAGGCTGAGCTGTGCTGGGATATATGACCGGGCTCCTGCTCTTACGAAAATTAAAGGGTATTTGGTCTTCTGGTACCTTGTCTGACCAGCCTTTTAATATGTGACCATCCTGGGGCCTTTCTTCTAAACTTGTGATTTCTGTGGTTAGTAGGTAGCAATGTCTGAGCAACTCAGTGGTGAGATCCAGTTATCTGTACCCCTGGAGATACAGAGGCAAATGGCCTGTCTTATGCCTGAGTGAGGCAGGACCAGTATCCAGACTCGCTTCTAACTTTTTTATCTATGCTGGGTCTTCTCATGTTACCCAGAACCTACACACATATTCATGATATTTCTTGTTCCAGCATCCAGCTCACCTGCTCTGAGCTCAGCCTAGGCTCATTCAGACAGCAGCGATCACATGTAAACCACAGCCAGGAAATGAGCCAGTTGTGGGTGAGCCCAGAGCTAAGTTAACTCTCTGGAGGCTGCCCAGGCATCATGGAGGAACTGAAGGTCCTCATCATGGGGTTTAGGAATCCCCCCAGAGCCTGAAGACAATCAGAGCCAGTCTGGTTTTCATTTTCATCTCCAGAAGAATGTTCTAACAGCTTTCAGTGATAGTAAAGCCTGCTTGGAAAGAAAGTAAGCCTCTCCCCAGAGGCGCTCCTCCAGCCCCTGAGTTCTAGGATTTTTCTGCCCTTAAGCAACATTAAAATTTGGGAAGCTATACAACTCCATCAGCAGGCAGGAGACATTTCCAAAAATGCAAGTAAAAGTGACAAATCTTGTTGGAAAGTGACAGGTCAGCCCGGCGGTGGTGGCACACACCTTTAATCCCAGCACTTGGGAGGCAGAACAGTGAGATCCCTGTGAGTTCCAGGCCTGCCTGGTCTATAGAGAAGGTTTCAGGACACCAAAGGCTACAGAGAAACCCTATCTCAAAAAACAAAACAAAACAAAAAAACAGAAAGCGAAAAGGCTTCCTCCATGTGTGTTAAATGTGGGTGTTTGCCCGAGTGTGTCTGTTCATCCCATTCATGCAGTGCCTCCAGAGGCCAGAAGAGGGAGTCACATCCCCTGGAACTGGAGTCACAAATGTTGCTACCAAACCTGGATTCCCTTCGAGAACAGCAAGTGTTCTTAGCAGGGAGCCATCTGTCTAATTCCCTACATCAGCTTTTTACTGGGGATCTGAACTCCTCATGCTTGTACAGCAAGCACTTCACCGACTGAGCATATGCTGGGGATATATCCAGGGGTTTTGAGGAGTGGTGTGAGCCCAGCAAAGTGCTGCAGAGGAGGTGTTGGAATAGGGACAAAAGCAAGGCTGTGGCATAGACACGCCTGGCAGGGTTTGTAGATGCCAAAGGTCTCATCTGGTCCCTGGGTGGCTGTGGGTGGAATGGGAAACCTGCAGGGTCTAAGCATCTCTTAATAAAAGTGGGAAAGTCAGGAGGAGGTGTACATGGACAAAAGATGATGAGTTTGATTTTAAGCCATAATTAATAAGACTTTAGCTTTGAACCCCAAACTTGGTAGTGATGTGAGTTACGCATGGTGGCTGTCACCTACAGTCCCAGCACTGGAGGGCCTGACTCAGCTCTACCCTCCACACACAGCAAGGACCTGCAGTTTCTGTCCCTCTCTTGTGCTTTTCATCCACTAGGTCCCTTGGACACAGACATGCAGCAGTTGGCTCGGGAAACCTCCATGGACCCAGAGTTACGGAACAGACTGCAGAGGCTGAAGTCAGAGGGGGAGCTGGTGGATTGTGGGACGTCAGCCCAGAAACTGCTGAATTTGCTGCAAAAGGACACCTTCCAGTCTGGAGCCCACGTGGACTTCTATGACAATTAAGCCCCATGTCCTGCCCCAATGCCCCCCACACCAATGCTGCCTAACACAAGCATAAGCCCTCAGACATAGCCAACAGGTTGTGGCTGGCATTACCAGGCTTCTGTAGGGGCCTGAGAGAGAGTTGATGGGTATTGGAGTTCTCTGTCCCCAGGAAGAAAATTTTAGATCTGGGGACCGCCAAAATGAAAACACTGGAGAGATGAGGTTGAGTGTCTTGTCTTTGGTCTGTCTGTGAGGTGAGGAGGGTGTGGCCTGATGCAGAAAGAGGGTGAGGGCATCACATGTGGGTGTTCCTTGGATCGGGTGTCTTTGTTCTGCTGCCTTTTCCTCTGGTACTCACTGGTCCTCCCCCGACTCTAGTCCAAATACATAATTGTAAGGCAGATGCAGTAGAGGATGGGTTGCCCTTCATGAATGCCTGCTGACCTCTTCTAGAGAGCCCGGGAGCGACACCCTGGATCACTGGACAGGGTGTCCCTAAGAACTTTACTGCTTTTATTTCCCAGAATGTTGACAGAGAGCTGCCTACCTTCTTTCACTGAGGCCCACACAATGGTATGCATAGGTCCAAAGTCATCAAGATGCCTATGCCATTGTCATGCTGCTGTCCATACTGGCCCACCTTTACTGCCATTTTCTTAAGGGTCCTAGAGTTTCTCCGTGAGCATCCATCCTCGGGGCTCAACACACAGCAGACAGCCCTCCCCAGTGTTTGCAATTCAAGTTCTACCCCTTGCCAACCTGGCAGTGCTCTAAATAGGTCCCAGCTCCTGTGCCAGGCCCCCTTGACACTGTCCCTGTGGCCCTTGGTCTGCTGTGGTACCAGCTCAGGACCAACATGCGTTTGTTTGGGGAAGATGAGTAAGGATCCAAGAAAGATGTGCTGCGAGGTCCAGTCCTTGTGCAGGCCACAGTCATGGATGGGAAGCTCCACAGTAGGACCTGGCCTGCAGCCAACCTCTATGCCCACCTTTAACAAGGAGCACCCAATTCCCAGGCATTCGTAAAAACAACTCCCCAACTTAGTCCTGCATCTGCTTGTGTTAAAAGAACCTGCTGAGCCTCCTCATTCCCAGCAGAGGGCGCACTGGGGCTGTGTATCGTGGAAAGGTGGGGCCTGCCCTTCCTGAAGGGTATGCCACAATTGTCAGGGTCCTGCAGGATTCCCCAAGGTGGAAGAGGTTAGGTAACTTCTATCACCTTTCCCAGTGGAGTCTTTACCTTCTCTGGAATGGGAATGGCTGGGTTCAGACTCCTGCTTTGCTTCTTTCTAGCTGGTAACCCACAGCAAGTTGCTCTGTGTCTCTATATATTACAGTGCCCTTAAATGACTCAATGCACCCATGCCAACGGGTCATCATGAGTACTGGGTAAACTAGTGTTTGTAAGTGTTTATCACTAAATAACCCACAGTTGATGAAGCCTTTGCTTTCATGTTTGACAAAGTCTTGTAGCGGAGTCTGGCCTCAAACTTAAAATAACCTCCTGGGGTTCCACCTGGATAGCATGTTTCAGCCAGAATGCATAAGGTTCCGGAGTCTAGAACTTTCCATGCTGGTCTTGGCAGGTCCTCATTCCCTCCCAGAGCTTCTGTTTCTTTAGGAGAAACAAATTCCTGTTTTCTTGCAAACCTCTCTTAGGAAGGCCAGGATGTGTAAGGGATTGGCATTGCCTTCTTCAAGAAAGCGGGTCAGCCTAGTGTGCCCTTCTGCTCTGGAGGCACATGAGTTCCTCCCAGGCCTCTTGCTTTTGGGGGGGGAGGGGGATGGAGGGATAGTGCAGTGAGGGAGCTGAGCAGTCCGCACCAACCCAAACCCTGTTGAGAAATACCACATACCTCCACAAGGTGGCACGACTCTCATGTCTCCTGAGTTCAGAGGCTTCAGCGTCTTCTAAGCTCTTTAGATTGGGGGAACGGGGGCAAATAATTGAGAGAGGTCAGAGAGTGAGAGAGTCTCTCTCTGGCAGGCCTCAAGGTCAAGATGGTGACTTGAAACCATCTCTGCCCACAGGGCATCAATTCCAGCCCTGGATTCAGTGTAATCAAACCCTTGGCACGGGGACTTTTCTGCCTTAACCATCTGTCTCCTAAAGTTCATAGTGTGGTCTTAGCCAACCCACACATGAGCACACGCAAGCACACACATAAATACATGCCTGCACATGCTCAGAGTCCAGCTGCAGGGGTGAGCAGGGCTGTGGATTAGCCAAAAGGCAAACAAGGTTTCCCTTTGTCTTTGTTGTCACTGAGCTGGGTAGGTTTTTTGTTGTTGTGTTTAATGGTCTGAGCTGGGAGCCAGCAGCTGCCTCCTGAGGAACTGGAGTGGGGGGGGGGTGGATTTTCAACTTAACCCCATGAAGCTGTGCTGTCTCTACCCATGAATGGAACCGGCTGGGGGCAGGCTGGGGGCATACCTCATTCCTGAGTCCCATGTCTCATCTCAAGGAGTGGGGCCTTGGGACACTGCCCTCTGGTCTCTACCCTCATACTTCCCTGGAGAACATACTCTTACATACTAATGTGTGTGCAGAAATTCTGACCCATGTGGCATGTATGCACACTCCTGTGTGAACACGTCACGAGCGCTCAGAAGTGCCCTTCATCCCGCTTGACAGAGGTGAGCAATGGGCCTTTCCAGTCACCAGAGAGGAGGCAGCACAGGCTGACACCTCTCCAGTATGGATTATATCTCAGTGACCTGGTGTGCAAGGGAGATGGTCATGGGACTAGAAGCCCAGGGACAGCACCCTGGAAAATTAGGTGGAGAATCTCCCCAAGCCTTTGTCTGGGCCAGCTGGAGGGGGGGTTAAATGAGGGAGATGCTGCGGAAATGAGAGGAAACTGTCCTGGCCCCATTCACCCGTCTCCTTCCTGTAGTTTGGAGGCAGGGACAGGGGCCGGGCATCGCCCACCCTGGAAGTCTTGAGTCACCTTCCTTCCCAAATATTCTCACCCCCGTCTCTTTTGCACCCTAGGAAACAGCACCTTCAGACCTAATATCCCTAGCTGAGTTAAAAGGCTGGACTTAATTTTTAGTGAAGAGGTGAGAAGAGAAATTCCTTTCTTGTTTTGGGGTGACCCATGTGATAGAATGTACCCACATATATATATAGGTATTTGTGTATATGATATATGTATACATGGAGGCCAGAGGTCAAAGTAAGGTATCTTTCTTTCACTTATTTTTTTGAGATAGGCTCTCTCACTGAACCTAAAGCTCACCAATTCCACTAGACTGGCTGGCCAGAGGGTTCCAGGGATCCTCCTGTCTCTACTCCTGCCCCCAGAACTGGAACTGTAGACTTATACCACTGCACCCAGCTTTTTCCAGACTGCTAGAAATCTGAACTCGGGCCATAATGTCTGAGTAGCAAGCGTTTTACCCACTGAGCCTGCAAGCTTGCCTGAGACCCAAAAGGGACCAGGGACAAAGTCAGGAAGAGGAAATACCTCTTTGTTCTCTGGCACATTCAGATGCAGAAACCAAACTTGACCCAGTAAGAATCAAAGAAGGGGCAGGTGATCAAAAACATGATGGAGAAAGAGCCAGTAACAGGAAGCCCAGAGAGGAAAGCAGTAAGATCCTGAGGTACAGTAAGACAGATTTTGATGATGGAAGAAGCCACACACTTGTAATCTCACATGTACATACACTTATCTGTACACACACAGACAAACACACACCAGGAGTGTGTTCGTACAGCTGCCCTGAGCCTTGCTGGAAATAATCCCTTTTCATTCAAGACACTGGGGCCTCAGCTGCACAGGCAGTGCCGAGCTGCTACCTTGCACATCTGTCATTTCCAAATGTGGAAGCTGTCAGAGGGGTGTGTGTGTGAGAGAGTGTGTGAAGAGGGGGTTGGGAATTGAGAGGCCTCAGCAGGCAGAGGGAGATCCCAAGAGTCCCTCAGGAAGCTCTCCAGAATTCCATGCCCTGGGGTACAGGTCCAGTCCCTTCCAGGCAGAGGCCCGGAGGCTTTCCAGAGTTAGGAACCAGCTCACCTAGTCTGCTGAGGTCCATCACAGCCAAGCGACTCTGGGAAGTCACCTGTTGTTCCCACTCAATGGTGTATGTGAGAAGGGGCATCAGATAGGATGGCAAGCCTCTATCCCCTGGCCTTCTTTCTGCACTTCTAATATTTACTATTGTTGTGTATGGTATGTGGGAAGTGGGGTATGTATATGGAGGTCAGAGGACAATGGCGTAGAGTCAGATCTCTCCTTCCACCTTTACAGGGAGTTCTGGGATAGAACTTAAGGTGCCAGGCTTACAGGACCAGTGCCTTTACCCACTGGGTCATCTCACTGCCCTCTCCACACCCTTTCTGGGCTTGTCTTCAGTCTGCTTCCTATGAGTCCCTTTCTGTGTCCATCTCTGACTTCAGGGATATGCCCAGGCCCATTTGAGACATGAGGACATTGTCCTCCTCTGACCTTGGCTGCTCCTCTTGTGGGACGTGGGGATGATCTTGGCCTTGAATCTGGACTACAGAAAATCTAGGAACCTCAGACTGTGATCCTGTAGGAAACAAAGGGCTGGCCCAGAATGCTCAGTAGTCCCCTATCAGAGTCCCTTGGGTATAGTCCTGTGCCTTTCCAGATGCCCTTCCTAGGCATTCACTCCCAAATGCCAGCTTCTCCTTCTGTCTTCACCCTCCCTTCTGCATTAAGCTCATCAGAAAATGCTCTGACAGCAGTGAAACTCCACAGCAAGGAAGCCATCCTCATCCCTGGATGGTGACACGGGGGCTGTAGAGCAAAGGTCCTATTCCTGAGCTGGGGAGATGGCTCAGCGGGTAAAATGTTTGCTGTGCAGGCATGAGGGTCTGGTTTCAGTCCCCAATACCCATGGAAAAGCCAAGCATGGCAGTGCATGAAACCACAAAGGAGGGAAGGCAAGAGCTCCCTTTCAGCTCACTGGCCAAGCAGCCTAGCAGAACTGGGAAGCTCTGAGTTCAGAGCTCTCTGATCCTATTTAAAAAAAAAAAAAAAAAAAGGCATGGAGCATAATAGAGGAAGAAGGTACCTGACATTACCCTCTGGCCTTTGTATGCTCTATCCCTTGGCAAAAATGAATGCAGGCTATGCGGAGAGCACCAGAGATGGCCTGGGGGTTAGGTTGGTTCTGCTGCAGACAGGTGTTTGTGCTCATTTCTGGAAAGGGATGGCTCCATTCTATGGGGGATGGAGAGCTTATCTGGG